TCAAGATTGTCAGCCGACCCAGCGTCTCCGGGGCAGGCGGCCCGGCCGGCCTCGGCCTGAGTCACGGGACGCTAACTCACAGTGTCACCTGAGTCATGAGGCTCTGACTCACAGGGTCACCTGGTGTACAGCCCGCTGCTCGCCGGCTGGGCCGGCGCCGGCTAGGGTTCCCGGTCAGGGAAGGAGTGCTGGCAGCTGTAAGTCCCGCCGTCATCGACAAATAGTACGGAGCATGCTTGGAATCCCCCCCCCCCCCCACGTGCACCCACATTGGAGCAAGCCGAAGGGGATATGTGGTGGCGTCGTGAATGGCTGTGATGGTTACCCCAAACATCCATCCACTTGACGTTGGCATTCTGTATACATCAAGAGGCCTCGGTCATTATCATGTCGGTTTTCAGCCGTTGTCCCCAATGAAGCCCTCAGCTGACCTGCTGTCTGAGTCGTCGTCATCACTGGGGCTTTACCACGCACTCACCTGCTGAGACCAAATGGCGTCGCCTGCCATTCGCCCTGGCAGGAGGGGCGGACACCGCGCATGACCGCCGTGGGATGTTTTAATCGCGCGGTGGCCCTCTCATGACCTGGTATCTTCTTGGTCGTACCAGCTGGTTCACTTTGGCGCACTGGGTTGCGTGCCTTTTTCGGAATCCCTGGCCGTCTCGGGCCCATTGAACCTTCGGGGCTCGCCTGGTTGTTTTAAAGTCTTAAATCCGCTGTGCAGAAATGAAGAAGACTTCTGAAGGGGCTTTCATCGTCGTTTTAATTAGGTACGATGTGGGCCACACTTTGTATTCAAAGCTTAAGCCCACAAATTTGTGATCATTCCAGAATGTATCATGTATGTTTGTAAGTCACTTGAGTGATCTGATTTTACTCTGCCGACCTATCTTTCAACCAATGTTTGATCATGTTTGGACTCGAAACGACGTGGCTAACGCTTTGATAAACTCCAGTCAGCAAAAATATCAAACGTGCTGTCAGGGACGCATGCGGTTAGTTCTCATGCTCTGCGTAATAAACTGGTCCCTTCTAAGTTCATGAATCTTAATAAATTGGAGCTTCAGTCTTTGTTACATTGTCTTTAGGCGATTGTCAAGGTTTATGAGCTGGGATTGAACTCCAATAATTTTGAAATGTGGGGGGTTTCGATAAGACGTTATGCAAAAGCGTATTTTCCTTTTATGACATGCTTAAGAAGTTCACCGACGAGCATTCAAGACATGGTCGTCTTATTCGACCGTACGTCCCGGGTCGATCTGACACAGGCCCGCATCGGAGCTGCACGAGGTAGAAGTAAATAGGCGTGATCAATTTTTGGGTTATTCAAGAAAAAATAAAAAAAATTCAAAAAACGGTTTTTGATCGATGGCAAAAATAATGGCATGCCTTTTTCCTACGCCAAACCAATAGCTAGGGCTGTCACTGAATGGAATGCACCGAGCAGGCGCTGATGATGCAAGATCTCCCCTTAGGTGAAACCAGATCCGGCCCCTGACGATGCGGGAAATCCACAAGAACAAGGCGGGCACCAGCCACTAACCTCCGGACGTCGCGCTTTTCATGAGCTTGCACTCATTGATCAGTAGCGTCCTGAAGTCACAAGTGACGCGTCCACGAACGTTGTGATGTTTTTTCTCTGTCATGTAAGACATTCTATCAGCGATGTACATTGTAACAGGATGCTATTATGAGAAGCATAGGTCACGTCGTGATGTGTGGGTTTAGGAACGGGCAAAGTCATTCTGCACGCATCGGAGGCTAATGTGCGGACAGTGCGGACTTCCTTAGCTCTCGTGCTCTTTGAAAATGAGCAGGTGAGCGGATTATACGTGTGACTGAACCTCTTATCACTCTTACACGACGTTTTCCCCTCGCGAGAAGGGAAAAGTAGCGATTACTGTCGCCGTTTCATGCTTTGCCCCTGCGCCCGAGCTCCGTTTTTGTGCTGTGCCAGAGCACATCTGCACGCCTGAGGGTTGCCATGGCCGAAAGGTTTTGGCCCAGCAAAAACGTTTCCCGGTGTTGTGTTTGTAGTTCGAGTCTGCATCACGATTCAAAAATCGGCTTTTTAACCAAAGGAACTGTAGAACATCTGAAAGGAATTCGGCGTATGTGGAAAACTGCTTCGTTCTATTTTTCTGAAACCCGTAGACAATTTATATTGAAGATGAGAGGTCTTCGACCTTCCAGAGATGTTAATCCGCAGCATCGACACTGTTGCGCTACGCCCTTTGCTTTAACGCTTTGGACGAAAACACCTCTGCTATAAAGATTGTACCGCTACCGCATAGGTTTCGTCATTCCAGCCAGTTTCCAGCCAGAATTTTGCGGAATTACTACGGTGTGAAGAGAAAAACTCTTGGCGAAAAGACGCGTGTTGAATCTAAAGGGCAAGATGCAACCTTTCACGTGTTAAATTAAGCAAACTATTGTTGGTAGCGCTAATTATTTTAAACATCTTAAGTTTTGCCTTTGAAAATCGTACTTTCACTTTACTGATCAGTAAGCAACACCAAAACCTATGTGGGCTTGTCTCGATATGTCAAAAGCAAGATGATGAGGGGAGAAAGGAGCAGAAAGCTTTATTTGTAAATATTTGATCCATGAGCATGTAGTTGATCCACGACCATATAGACCAAAATCAGGCCAGCTGGCTGGAAGGCCCATGCTCACTGTATTTTGTAAACGGCCTGGCAAAGATCTAGTGCAAAAGTCGAGATTGCATATTTATTGCAGTGCAATGGACGAACGCCGCCAGCGAACCTGCGAATCTGTTGTGGCACATTACAAAAAGAAAGGAAAAGGGAGTTGGGCCCACAGAAATACATCGATGGGCCGAATTCATGTTAAATGCCCCAATAGCTGAGATCTGAGATGCAGAGGCAGTAAATGCGACAAGGAGCGAGCCACTGCATGACACGTACTGCATCTCTGTGCTATTCTTCCAGATGTCCTCTTGTGGGGTTCGTGAGGTCGTTGGAACTGCATTGCAGCTCACTCGTGAAATCGAATGTCCGGGGAGCATACACTCGTGGCCTATGAAACAAAGGTTGCAGCATGTTCTCAAATTTTGCGTCAAAACCGTTGGTTCCCATTTGGCAATATACATTCGATACAACTTTAGAACAAGTCTTGGCCAGTATGGGGTTAACATTACAGCGTTCCGCAGCGTAGTGGAAGTTACTCCTGTCCCTCTTCTCACCACGTAATTCCGTTGGACAGAGGCATAACCAGGTGCTAGATGAAGTATTAGATATCCGACCCATCCTGTTGCCTGGATGGCACGTCGCGCATGGCAGCACGACGGCAACAAGCGACAGATGAGACAGCTTACCAGAACGATTGATGTTGTTCTGAGACCAAGAGAGGGAGAGAAAAGAGAGAGAGAGAGAGAGAGAGAGAGAGAGAGAGAGAGAGAGAGAGAGAGGAGAGAGAGAGAGAGAGAGAGGAGAGAGAGAGAGAGAGAGAGAGAGAGAGAGAGAGAGAGAGAGAGAGAGAGAGAGAGAGAGAGAGAGAGAGAGAGAGAGAGAGAGAGAGAGAGAGAGAGAGAGAGAGAGAGAGAGAGAGAGAGAGAGAGAGAGAGAGAGAGAGAGGAGAGAGAGAGAGAGAGAGAGAGAGAGAGAGAGAGAGAGAGAGAGAGAGAGAGAGAGAGAGAGAGAGAGAGAGGAGAGAGAGAGAGAGGAGAGAGAGAGCGAGAGAGAGAGAGAGAGAGAGAGAGAGGGACTGAGGCTCGAGGATTGCGTCAGGACCAAACCTGGCGGCGTCCGGAAAAAGGGCTGAACTTTGAAGAATAGCTGATTCCACCCACCTACTTGGCCGGCGACACATTCTACCGCACCTGTAACAACGGCCTTACAGGCGTAGCGCCACAAAGTGCGTTGTTTATTACATAATGTACTTGCGCTGCTAGTGAGCTTACATCGGCGAAACCAAGCCTTGCGTCATGTACCGCTTCGGCGATCATTACAGAGGGCTCACGAACCGGACCAAACAGACGTCTCTGGAGATGCTCCAGAGATCATGTGCTCCAGTCCCGTTTGAATGAGCCGGTGCTCCAGCTGGCGCATTAAGTTGCTTCGCCGGCGCAGGGATGATGCCGACCGCAAAATCGCTGAGGCATTTACCACTCGTGACAGGCATCCAAAATTAAATAGTCGGGCACTTAGGTCGTGACAGCATCACGTATCAAAATATATTTAATGAACCCCCTAGCTGGACTGAACAGGGAAATGTCTCACGTGGGTTGTTCTAATCCATCCGAATTGTGTCGGAAAGCTTTTCAGTCAACGCGCTTGATAAACGTTCCCCTAGTCATGTTCTGAAGAAGGCAAAAACCGAGTATCTAATCTTGTTATCATTTTTGCACACCTTAGTCCTCACCAATCATAAGCTAAGCTTTTTCATAGCAACTTCAAGAGCTTCGAGTCGGTCGAGTTTGATCACGTGCTTGGGATTCCTTGGCAGCGAGCCGAATCTTAGGCGGCAGTGAATTGTGTGACGTCACAGTATGATGTCATATATCCGGCTTCTAGAACCTGATTGCTCAGCGACGGAAGTAGGGCGGGGCGTAGTAGAAATTATGACATCATGCTGCAGAAACAGTGCGGTCGCCGGTATAAGGAAAATGATGAAGAAATCGCCAAAAGACGGCATTTTTGGTTCTCCTGTGTCCTCATTAAAGTGAATCTGCATCGCTCTTGCACACCAGTTTGTTTTACGGAGATCGTTTTGTTCGGTTGGCTGCGGCTTCTGTCCATATTGGTCAGCTTGGGTGTGACATCAGATCATGTGACGTCACAGCTCTGGCCGGCCGGCGCTCACCATTGGCCAGCGGGTCGGCCGCCGGCGCCCATTCATGAAATGCATGGTGGCTGTAGTACGGCGGTGCCGAGTGCCAACGGCAGTCGGCTGGCGGCGCTGGCGCGGTGGAGTCGCGTGCGCGCCGACGAGCGCAGGCGCCCACGCGGTCTAACGCCACGCCATCGCCTCGCCTCCAGGTGCCTTAGCGAGCCCGGCCAAGATGATCATGGAAGGCTCGGAGCTGGTAACGGCGCCTAGCCTGGCCGGCACGCCCCTGGGCCTGTTTGGCTTCGATACCTGCAAGGATCCCTTCTCGCCGCCGCTCAGCCCCAGCGAGCTGCTCAGCTGCGGGGCCGAGCTCAGCGAGCCTGTCACCACCAGCCTCGAGATACCATCGTTCTTCAGCAGCTTCCCGACAATCGGAGCAGGTCAGTCACAGACAGGCGGGCCACATAGCCGCCCCGGCCGGCCCGGCCGCTCCCGCGGTCACGCCAACTGGCAACGCGGCACCTATCTGTCTGCTACTGCTGGCCAATTGCCATACGTGCATGAACTGTCTAGTTTCATCATGCTTGCGTCGTGAAAAACATTCCAAGTAACAGAGGGCAGCAAAGCATGTCTGTGAAAGTATCCACGGCGTGTTCGATGGGGTTTGCCCAGCACTAAGTTTTGGGCACAACGGACAGTTTTGTTTTGTTTTGACAAATTAAGACACCAAAACAGAAATTCACATCAGTAAGATTTGAGGTTTGATGTTAAAGGCCTTCTCCCTTATATGCAACCCTTACATAGGCTTTTGGGCTCTGGTTCTGGATAAAAGTATATTAGCTACAATATCGTGATTGAAATAAATCCTGGTGCGCACCTGCGTGATGTGTGTTGGAATCAGACTAAAATAATGTTTTTTACATATCATTTGGTCTTCGAAAAATCTGTTTTACCTATTATGATTGTCAGTTATAGCGTCAAGCCTAGCAGCACAGCATCCAGTCCATTGAACGTTGTGATATTTTGCATGCGCACTCCGCTGGGCGCTGGTGGTGCACCCATGGCGGGTGCGTTTGAGTGCACACGTGTACGGCTTCACTGTCGTTGGACGGCGCCTCCGCCAGTCAGCACGAATCCCTGCTGCCCATGAATATGTCCAGCGGTATGGGGCGGGACAGGCGCCGGGACGGGAAGCCGCTGCCTGCCAATTCCAGTATTATTTGAAATGAGGTCGATGGCTGCTACTATCAATTCTCGGCTGAGATTACGTGTGTCCTTCACCGCCCCCCCCCCCCTCCCATTCACCTTCCACTTGCGCCGAGATTCCACCGTCACTGCTTCGGGTCATGTCTCGACGGTGGAAGTTTTGCGGACGTGGGAAAGTGAAAATTGACCACGATTGACATGTGCGTGAGATAATATTCGTTTGATTCTGTCACGAAAGTCTTGCTCATTTTCCTTATCACAGCCTCGGAATGTCCTCTGAGATGGTTCGGCGCCTGCATTCAGTGTGCGATGCCCAGGCCGCTGAGCCGAACCCATGCGCGCGGTGCGCTGGCCTCTTCCCCCGTTGCCACGGCAGCTGCCTTCTGGGAGCGTTGCCAGATGGCCGTGCCGTACATGCATCCAGTCAGCGTTTCCCGCCAGCCGGCCTCGTGTCCAGCCGTGGCAGCTGGATCGGGCTCGGCGGCCTGGCCGCGCGCCTCGCGTGCAATCTGGTGTGACGACATAGTGTGACGTCACTTCCCTAGTCAGAACCCGCATCGCCCATGGCGGTCACGCTGTGCAACGTCACGGCTGACGTCATGAGATGACATCATCGGACCGGACGGCGATTGGTCGGGTGTGAGGTCATCGGACGCCGCGGGTTGCGGCCTTGATGGCCGCTACCGGTCGGCAACTGTGCCGGATGCACGTCCGGCGGGCCCCCGGCGACGGCGGCGCGTTTGGCCGGCAGATAAGCACGTGGCGAGTTCGCACGAACCGCGCTGGTGCAGTCTGGAAAACACGGATAGTGAGTGCGGTCGCCGGCCATACTTGACGGCTTAGGGGGATGTGCACGGCAACATGGGCGGCGCAGCAGGGCGTGGAGGGGGGAGGGGGTAGCGGTTAGTGGGGGCGGTTAGGTGGCGGTTAGAGTATGTTTTACACTCAATCAAATTTGGGGAGGCTCCTTTGCTCAAAATGAAGGATTTGTGACTCACTTTGATTACCAACATTCATATGAAGGAGGCCCTCTTAACTCAGCTAGAAGTTACGGCGTCAGGGGTGCTTCTGAACGCACCGGGTTCAGAAGCAGCCGGGAGTCCGGGGGGGGGGGGGGGTCTCCGGGCAGCCGGAGATCGGAGGCTCTCGGCCCGTCTCACAGTGCCTCACCGCGCGTGAGGGGCAACTGCCAAGTTATTCCCAGCAGCACAGCCACATGCAGTCTGTCCGTAATGTTTCAGGCGATTTTTCGAACGATTTTGGTCACATATTAGGGGTGAGACAAACATGGCTGGGAGTCTCCATACAGATCCGAATCTCTACCCGCGGTTATAGGCGCTTGCGAATGGGTTGCAAATGGGGAAAGTATGAGCAAGTCCCGCTAGGCTTACGGCAAATATGCTGCGTTCTGCGGTTTCCTGAGCGAGTCACTTGTGCGGAATAGACCATTTATCCTTTAAGCTACACATCAACCCTACTGCATTGCGTTAAGAAAAAAGAAGCAGAGCAGGGCTGCCGTCCCGATTTTAGACGTCCCTACCCTTCTGGAGGCTTGTCTATCGCGAGGTACATAATACATTTTACAGAAGTGCGGAGGGGCCAAAATACCTGTCGCGACGATGCTCCGCCCGTGCACACCGTGCAGCGTCCTGCAGACCGTGACCGCACGGCCCCCCTGCGACAGGCTAGCCGTCGCGCCAATTATTTATGTCCACTCTCATCCATGCACGCGCCGGTCGTAAACGGTGCGAGGCGGACGCAAAGCCGGGCCGCTGTCCCAGTTTTGACAGGACAGGGTGCAGACTGGCGGAGCGGACAGCGGGCGGCCGCGGTGGCGCCGGCCGGCCGGGCCACAACTGTCGGGGCCGAACGGCGGCGGCGTGCCGGCGCTGGCCGCGAGCCGGCCGTAACGACCGAGCACGCCTCTCCAGCTCGCTTCGGCGGGCCGCTGAGGGCTGCCCGTCGGCCGGGGAGGGTTTGCAGGTGCCGCTTGCTGGTTTGGTTTCTTTTTGTTTGTGCCTCCATAGACCATTCTGTATGGACGTCAAGGCGACCTGTATGGACGTCAAGGTGACCTGCATGAACATCAGGGCGACCTGTACGAACATCAAGGCGACCTGTATGAACGTCAGGACGACCTGTATGGACGTCAAGTAGGACTAATGCTTAAATTTCGACAAGTTGGGGGAAGTGCGACAGCCCGTTGTATCCCCCAGTCCCCACCCCTCCAGCGCTTGCGCACTGTCCCCACGGTTTCAGCTCCTGATGGGTCTCAACACACCCCTGATCACCGGCTGCCTGGCCTCTGCTGAGAGCCTGGCGTGGCGAACAGTCGGCGTGGCCTCGGCGATTGTCCCCAGACCCGCACGCCGGGCGCCCCGTTAAAGGCGACCACCCCCGCGCCACCAACGACCAGTCGCCGGGCCGCCGGCTTTAGTCTTGACCCTGACCGTCACGTGTCGATCGATCGTGTGACGTCACCGGTCGCCGAGACAGCCCCGGCCGGTGACGTCGGGTGAAGCCGGCCGCAAATAGCCGGCCCGTTTCGGAGCGGCCGTAAAGGCTAAATGTGAGCGGCAGCGGGCCACGGGCGTATTTCGGTCGCCGCCGACGGTTACCGGCGCCGGCTAGACAATCACAAGCCGCCGACTGAGCTCCCTGGGGCTGGCGACGGTCCGGCCGGCGCGCGGCTGCCGGGCCGAGGCGCGGCGCGCCCGGTCAGCCGGTGCCGCGCGCGCCCTACACCGCAGGGAGGGGAGTCCCCGGTAATGCTATGCTCAGCGGTCAGGGCGGAGGCGGACATCGCCATAGGGACTTCACGGGTTGGGAAGACCCATGGCACCCATAGGGAATGGGTAACGGAGTGGGTTGGGTGCATATTTTTGGAAGGCTATGTGTATGCATGTGACGTTTACGAAATTTTGGGACAAATGGTTCAAGAACTGCCACACCATATTACTGTCTGCACCTCTTTGGTCAAAATTATCTCTCTAACGTCTTCCAAAGTTCAGCTAGGAAGCTTCTCCCGCTCTGAGCCCGTATTAAGATAGCACTCACCTCTGAATCGTCTTCCAGTAGGAGCCCACCGGTACAAGTATTACGTATTACGCTACAGAGACTCAGGCCCCACAGGCGCCAGCCACACAGGCGTACTTCCACCCCGTCTGGCTCCCAGGTCAAATCTACCGCGTGGTGGTCCCCCGACCCCGACGTGACTTATCATTCTAGAGCCTTCGGTCGACCCCACTGCCTAGCCGTCCCTCATCTCCATTAACTAGCTGATCGCAAACATGCGAAGAGCCTCACTCTGAGCTGGCGACAACAGCTGACCGTAACAGCGTTCTAACACCCTCGACACCAACACGACACTACAGGCTCTATTCACGCTACTTTGCAATTACCATCGCAAAACAGTAAGTTTGAGCGTAAATTTACCTGACATTTGTCCATAATTTACGACAAAAATCCTGCGAATGAAGCGTTTCCATGAATGTCTATGCTCAGGCATATTGCGGCTGGCGGCAAGCTGTGACACGGCCGGGTATCGGAGGGGGGGGGGGGGGGGCATCACGGTTCACTTCGCTGTTGGTGATGTCGATAATTGCCATTTGGCGGCAGTCGGTTTGCATCTCGACCTCTGTCGCAGACATGTATTTAAGCAGCGGATTGGGATTGCTCAGTGCTTTATTGGGATCGGTGTAATAAGCCAAACAACAGCAGTCGGGGTGCGAGTATATAAAATACTTGTGAGCAGGCCTTAGTGCTGCGCAGATAAGATCACAACTTTGAAGATCTCGCTTACGGCACGGGGTGATAAAATAGAACAATGGAAAACTGAGTCTCGTCAGATTTTTCCGTTATGAGCTCCACTAAAACGGTGTCAGGGGTTACGTGTAATCAGTTGTTGCCATTTATTGCGATTACGACTGCGATTGCATTATAAAGCGCAGTTAAACCCATGTCTATATTCAATGATCTTGAATTCGGGCGTGGATAAATTTAGCCGAGGAGAACCTCTCGATGTGTTGTGCGGAGTTTGTGCAGGCGTGTGTCGCGTGACGTATGTGCAGGTCCCCATCTTCGAGTCTCCCCACAACATTGAAACCTTTGCTGTTGTCGTCTAGCCATGCAAAGCCGCCAGCTTGTCCGCGGGCTCACCCCGCTCCCCGGGGACGCCGGCCGGCCTTCTGACACTCACACCTGTCAGCGAGCTCACCCCGTTCCCCGGGACGTCGGTTGGTCTACTGACGCTCACACCTGTCCGCGAGCTCACCCCGTTCCCCGGGACGTCGACCGGCCTTCTGACGCTCACACCTGTCCGCGAGCTCGCCCCGCTCCGCGGTACGTCGGCCGGTCTACTGACGCTCACACCTGTTCGTTGCAGGTGGACAGAGCGAACGCTCGATCAGCAGTCCGGCCGGCAGCGAGGGCGAACCGGAGCTGCTCCGACGCCACAGCGCGTCGCGGGCCGCCACCCCCGCCGCGCCGCCCGCCGGCCCGAGCCCGGCCACTCCGCCGGCCGGTAGCGGCATGTTCCCCAGTCAGCAGCAGCGGGAGGAAGAGGAGGAGGCCGCCAGTCAGAGCGAGCAGCAGCAGCAGCAGCAGCGACAGCAACAGCAACAACAACAACAACAGCAGCAGCAGTTGGCGTACCAGGACCCGACCGTATCACAGCCGGAGGGTCAGCAGGCGCCGTCGGCTGCGGCCGTGGCGACGGTCACAGCCAGCGCGAGCGCCGTCTCCGCCCCCTTGGCGCCCTGGCTCTTTTCGCCCTTCTTCTCACTATTCGGCCAGCAGGCGGCCGAGCAGCAGGCCAGCCAGCAGGCCTTGTTCCAGCAGCAGCAACAGCAGCAGCAGCAGCAGCAACAACAACAACAACAACAACAACAACAACAACAACAACAACAACAACAGCAACAACAACAACAGCAACAGCAACAACAACAACAGCAACAACAACAGCAGCAGCAGCAACAGCAGCAGCAGCAGCAGTTGAGCGAGCAGCTGCAGATGCAGACGTTCAGCCGCGAGGTGCCGTTCGGCTCGCAGCCTCCTGAGATGCTTTTCGACCCGTCAGGCGCCTACTCGATGAAGCCGTCGCCGAGCTACAGCAGCGGCGGCTCAACGCCAGCCGGCCCGGCGCCGCTCTCCAGCCCACTGCGCCAGCAGAGTCCGCACCAATGGGCGCCGCCGGCGCTGTCCGCGCTCGAGTACGGTCCGGCAGCGGCCGCCGCCGCCGGGCCGCCGCCGTTGGTGCCGAAGGAGGAGCCGCCGGGCGGCGAGCCGCCCGCCCAGCTGTCCCAGTACAGCCAGGACACGAGCCGTGGCCACGAGATTCTGTCGCAGGCGTACCAACAGTCACAGCTGCCGCTGAAGCTGGTGCCCGTGCGGCAGCGCAAGTACCCGAGCCGGCCGACCAAGACGCCCTTGCACGAGCGGCCTTACGCGTGCCCAGTGGAGGCGTGCGACCGGCGCTTCTCGCGCTCGGACGAGCTGACGCGTCACATCCGCATTCACACGGGTCAGAAGCCGTTCCAGTGTCGCGTCTGCATGCGCTCGTTCTCGCGCTCCGACCACCTGACGACGCACATCCGGACGCACACCGGCGAGAAGCCGTTCACGTGCGAGGTGTGCGGTCGGCGCTTCGCCCGCTCCGACGAGAAGAAGCGGCACGCCAAGGTGCACACGCGCCGGTCGCGGCGCGAGCCCCACTCGCCCGGCGACGGCGGCGACGGCGGCGGTCCGTCGGGCGGCGGCGGGCGCGGCTCGCCGTCGCACACCGCCACCTCGGCCGAGGCGGCCGCGTCGTGAGGGCGCAGCGGCGCGCGCCGCCCAGCCCGTCCGCCCCAGTCTGCCATCGCATGTGATACCGCCGCGGCGGGGCCCTAGGCCGCCGCCCTGCGCATCGCAGTGTGCGCCAATTTGCCAGTACAAAGAGCCGGCGTGGGAGCAGCGCCAGGTCGGAGTCGGGTTGGTCAGCTCTAAGCTCGACCGGACGCGCTCGAGACGAGCTCAGAATCTCAGCTCCATCCCACCACCGGTGCGCAGGGTCGTCAGTTCAACGCCTCGGATGTATCCGAGAGCACACGCACGCGACATTACTTGTATGTGCATACGCACAAGCATCCCTGCATAGGTCAGCTGCTTCTGCCGTCGAGGCCGAACATTTGATGGCGTGCGCACGTTGCTGACATGCCATCGTGGTTGTTATGTATCTCGTTACTGTTCTTATATACAGACTTTTGCTTGTCTACACGTGAGTGGAGTTGAACCGCGCTCATTTTTGAAATGTTTCAGCGGACTTCTCATGTGCTGCTTCGCCCAGATGCTCGTCAAAGACGACGTTCCATTGAAATGTCCTGAGTCAGGATGGGACGATGGAAAGGTGCCATGGTTTCATTGTATTACATTCTGGGCTGTCGCTCTTTGCGAGTGGACTGCACTAGTCGTGTTCCAGAAAGCGTGGTGCATGAAATGTTTTAGAACGTTTTAACGTGTTTTGGGAACTCATGTTAAGATATTCGTTGCGTTGCGTTTTTGGGGGGCGAGTTTTCCCATTGCACAATTTTGATATCTGGATGCTGTTTGTAGCTAGAACAAAATGCTGAAACTGCCTGCAACGTGAATATCCTTCCATGCCTACTTTATATCATCGTACCATGTTTGAAACGATTTGTGCGGGACGCATTCATGGAAGCGGCTATAAGTGCAGAGCTATTTATTTTTGCTGCTTAGTGCCCATGTGATGTAAAGATGTCATAACGAAATACAGTTCAATGAACCCCACGCACGGTTTGTAGAGGATGTTGAGTTGGGCCCTGATGAACGCATCCCACGTCTTCAATATATTCATTATTCACGTTCCCTGCATCCGGCACGGTAGCTCTGCACTTCGTGCGCACGTCGGTAGTGAATTTCACCGAAATCACCCACGGATGACGATTACGGTGCGCTCAGCTGCACTCAGCAGATTTTGGGCGCATTACGAAGAGGGATCGATTGCTTCGAAATGTTCTTGTGCACGACGCGGCGGGCCCGGGTGAAGCACACAACTCCGCGAGCGGGCACGGGCGAACCACCCAGCTCCTCAAGCGGGAGCGTGACGCAAACTCGCACACTCGCACGCACGCACGCACGCACATGAAACTCGGAGCGGAGCGTGGGCGGATAGTATGACGGGGGTGGGGTACGAGAGCGGCCGGCGGCACCAATGCCCGTCCAGGAAGCGCAAGATGCACGCCCGAAGAAGGGAACAGTGCTGCAACGGTAGCAGATGTGTAATTTCATGCCAACTTAATCAATGAAAGTTCATTTTTGCCCCAAGACCTCTCAAATATTGACAAAATTTTGTAGGATGGGTTTGCTCTAGCTCTGAGCACGGTTCTTAGAGCATTAAAGAGGCTGGAGCTACAGTTTTTTTGCGAAAAACGTGAGACAATCGAGGCCGCTGCAGTACCACGCATCATTACCCCCACCCCCCCCCCTAACTATAGCATATGCCCCAGTAATTTGAGGGAAAGAGAATTTTAACACCGATTTGTAAAAAAAAACTGAACATTTTTTCAAAAAAGTAAGGTTTTTAGATTATCCAAGCCTTTTTACCTTAGAAATCATGCAAACTGCAGCGGGCATTTCCATACTGACTCACCCAGCACGTACCGAACCGATCCTCCTGCGTGTTGCGGTCGGTCACCGTCCCCCAAATGCCCCTCCCCCTAGTGCCCGGTGTCTGACGCAGTTTGAAGTCTGTTGCTGATACGGAGCCGGCAGGAACGACATAAATCACGCTTGGGTGCCCTATCCGCGCTAGTTACTTACAGTGAGCGACCCTTAGAGCTAAGTGTGCGCGACACAGGTCGTGAAGCGATACCTAGATATATGCTCCATTCTAAGCATCGGGTGAGCAGCAGTGGCGGGTCTAAGTACTCCCAAGGAACCAAGGAGCTACAGAGCAGTGTTCAAAATTAAGTGCTCAGTTAGCGACTCCAGTGCTTGCCATCGGAGAAAGTTCAGTCGAAAAGGTGCAGCAAAACCAGCTCGGGACAATTGGCTTGTTATCCTGGCACACAGATAATGCGTCAGTGAAAGTATAATAAAATGGATATGCCCGCATCACAAGCAAGGTCTATTGATGCAATCACAGAATGCAGAGAGCATCGCTCCAGCTGTAGAGACGTGCGCCAGTTCGTTTCTCAAGGAGCACCAAAGGAGACAAATACCATGGCGCTAAGGCAAGCCTGGCCGAAGTTGACTGAAGGCATGGTTCGCGGTGTATCCAACTTTAAACCTCCGCTCCGTTGGACGCTGACATCCTGGGAACGCCACCACTCGCCCGGCTCCGTTCAAACAGTCCCGCTCCCCGTGCCCCGACGACCCGACCCCGACACGGGTCACGTGGCCACGGACCAATCACCGCGCGCCACGCAGGCTGCACTCCGGCGCGACGCGCCGGGCAAGTTGACCGAGCCGGCGACCCGGACCGAACCGGACCGGCAAGGCCGGCCGGCTCAGCATCCAACAAAGGAGTGTATCGATCACACAGGCAACCGCATGCAGGCAGCTGTGCGTACCCCCAACACTAACAAGTATCAGCTGCATTCATCTGGAAACAAAATATACACATCCTTGGGAAAGTCGAGGAAGATCCTATGCATATCTTGTGAGAAACGAGCTCCCAGGAGGACTTAAGTCCAGCTAAATCGCGTGACTAATCGAAATCTAGTAAGCTTGCTGAGCGACAGTGGTTGGCGAGTGTAAGAATTGCAAAAAAACATTAATGCCAAGTGCGATTTAAGTGAAATCACAGAGCACTGATGAGTTGTAAGAAACAATGTGTGTGCTCGCTTAGTCCTTTGCTCAGTCCACGGTCAGATATACCATACACCACACACATTAAAGGAATACAAAATGAACATGCTACGCATATTTTCATATTCTTCGTTTCGGACTAGTGTTCTTTATTTCCGTTTCACATAACAGGACACATCCCTTGGAAAGCAAGGCAAATGAAAGGCATTACCTTCGTGGTGGTGCGCAGGGAGTCTAATGAGATTCATTCGCGCAAGCGCGGATACTGCAAATCGAAATTTTGAGCTATTCAGAAAGATTTCGAGAAAGCTGGCATCAGCGATGGACTCGGACGTATCTGATCCGAAATAAGTGAAAATACAAACAGGTGGCATGCTCCCTTTAAACTTCGCCGTGCTTTTGTTTTGAGTTTCCCAAATGGATCGGTACGACTGGGGCTGTTTTAGCGTTCCATAGTCGCAAGACACTGCCAAGACACTGACAAAGCCGACCGCGATTTAATCGCACGACGGGCACTGCCCAAGGCCCTATCACTGGACCTTTGTCTGACTTCCGAGTCGCCCCACATGAACAAGAGACATCACCCTCACAGTGCGCACTTACTCCCTCCTCCCCCCCCCCCCTCCTCCACGCCTCAAATCGCCCCGGCCCGACAGTACATGGGGGGGGGGGGGGGGGCAGTCGGCTGCGGCGGTACGCTGCGCGTCCAGTCTTCGTGCGTTACGCGTGATTTCTCGGAACTTGAACTATGTCTTTTTTAGTGGATGACCACCTTGCTGTTCTCGAACTTCTGGGACTAAACTATGCCCTTTCACGGGCAAATAAAAAGGATTAATGTTACACGGGAAAATTGTTCTTCGTGCCTTGCAATAGTACATAATGCCATCAACATTATTTGTAATGCAATGAAGATTTCGAAGAAGGCATACAAATGGTCGGGACAGTTTTCTGGTCATTTTAACGTATCTGTTTGCCAATTTATCCTTCAAGCAAGTGAAAAAATCGCCCCCGAAGATAGCCTTGCAACCACGCAACTCGAAATCGTCGAAGACTTTAACTCTGAACCAGTGCAACTGAGAAATTTACAAATGTCACAAGCGACTTTAGCGCTGATGGCAGCGCCTGCGACCCAATTTAATTGAAATCCAATGGATGGGGGTGCGATGCACTTGTTGATTTATTGTGAAATGTCTCAGTTTGGATGATTTGGGTTGTCACTCTTGAGTTTTCAGTGAGATGTTTGTTTAAAGCTGTTAAATTTGTGCAGCCTGGTTTTCTGGTGTGTTATGTCTGCTATGGATTTTCTGTCACTGGTGTGCTTGCTGTATAAATATAATTACGATTCTTCCATGATTGCTTTGCGTTTGGCCGTCCACTCTGGCTTTGGTACTATTTTTTAAAAGTATGGGAAGACAAACAATTTGCTTGCTAAGATTACTGACCCGCAAAGGCCCATTAAGTTTAGCCCATAACCCAGCCAAAAGCCCGCGGGTTCTTGCAGGTCAGATATTGGAGGGTTGGCGGGTTGAAAAGTTTCGCCCCTAGTTCAGATCTTATGTGTTCTAAGACATGACTGCCAGGCGCAGTAAGATGAGATACAAACGCGGAATAGCACTCTGTATGGTTACAGCACATTTTGTTTGGCGCAATTTTGCGGGAACTGTGTAATGAACAATATCTGACCTTTCCATTGCGGAAGCAGTTAGCCCCGCACGTGTTTTTTTAGTCCGTGCCAGCACAGAAATAGCAGACAATTCGAGCCATGTTTTATAATTCTGGAGAAGGCGGGATGTTTACACAGGTGCATTGGACGCACCACAGTTGCAAACTGCATAATTACTGTTGCAAGTTTGTTTATCCAAAAACTTGGCAAAAGACTGCGCTATGAAAGTTGAAACCTCCTTTATGCATGAAATCTGCATGAGCTCACCATGAATAGCAAAAATAATTTACTTGCTGCTTTATTCATGCTGTCTCATATCAAGATGATACACCACTATATTGTAAAAGGGCTCGTTGGGCTCGTCGTTTCGTTCCTCGGCACAATAACGCTTACGACAGTAATCTTGTGAACCCTTTTAATTGATGTCATGTGTGCCATGATCGCATGGCCGCCAAGACCTTAAAGCAAAATTATTTACGGAACAAGAATACAACGCGGCGTCTTCTTTCTTATGTAATCTTTAATATCTTAACAGCTTTCTAGAATTACTGGTGACGAAGGTCAACAGTGCCACTAGAAGTCACTAGAAGACTGAGGGCATAGATGGTACGCAGCCTAGCACCGAATTTCTAGCATTTTTTTCTAGCATTCTTCCATGGCATTAGCATTTTTTTCTGACAGATTACGAAACCCTCGTACTGTGAAAATACCTAAAGACACATGACCTATTGCGTTGGATCTTAGGGTCCTGATTTTTCAACGTTTGGGAGGAGCATTAGCATAAGGGACTTGTCGGTGCATAGCAATACGCGAATGGAGACACGGGCTTTCATACGATCTCCACCTCCTTTCGACCACAAAGCTGGTGAAGTTCGCTCGGCTATCGGCGAGCGAACCCATAGGAACCCATCGGCCCATAGGATCTGGCAATGCCCCTGGCGCATGAGAAAGGACGCTTGCCATTGATGTCCGTCAATCTAGCAGCAGATTGATATCCGACTATCAGATGGATATTCCGGGGCGTTACGATCGCCTCTAACATTGGTGTGAAGGGCTTTCTTGGCACGCTGATTCCAACAACTTCCTTTGGGTGGGATTTTGCGTAGCTTCCGAGTTGCAAGATGTTTAACATCCCAGTTTGATAGTAGTTTTGATAGTTTGGCGTGACACGCTAATTGAATACAACGGGACGTCTCGATTCGCTTTAAACTTGGTGTGCAAGGTCATACTCAACACGCCGAATCCGAACAACAAATGTGGAGGCAATTGAGACGCCCCGCAATATCAATCTGGGATGTTACGCGTCTTGTAATTTCAAAGTTACGCAGCATCCCACCCCAACGGCAATCAATTTCGGAATTAGCGTGTTGAGAGGCCCCCTACACACTAATTTCAAGGTAA